GGGCAGAGGGACTAGTTTGCTGGTGGGCTCCTTCATGCTCTGTTCTCCACTCCAGAGCAAGGTTCACAGACTTTGCTCTAAGGTCCAGGAAGGTATCACAGACCAGTGAAATGAGTCGCTGCCTGGAGGCCCTGGCTAGTAGAGAAGACCTGCCCACGTAAGAGTGTAAGAACGGCAACTTACTTCTTAGCCATGTTCTTGGCTCAAGATACAGGATTTTACAATTCAAGAATAGTTGAAATTTTGATTTTCATGCAGAGTACTTTTATCAGTTGCCAACTAAGATTTGTTAAGGAAATACAGGTGAAGCTATATGCCTTTTGAGTTCTTCTCAGGTTCACTAACTCTTTGCTAGCAAACGCCAATATTTTCAAGTGTAACTGCATTATGCAATGAAGAACTATCTGAAGAGTGCGTTAGTCACGGACAGCATTCTCCAGCACTGGTGCTGCCAGTGGCCTTGTGTTGCTGTGATGAGGCCTGCAACTCATTCCATCATTCTTGCCCCCTGAGTTTCCAGAAAGTTTCCAAATCCTTCTTAGACAGGTTTTGAAAAAGCCAAAACTAGTAAAGCAACCATGTTCAATATGTAATGTTTTCTTTTTATTACCTTTGTTTTAGAAGAATCACTAAAAAATTTTTTTTAATTAACTTGGAAAATGGCTTTGAACTTCTTACAGTGGTATTCTTGAAATCTAATCACAAGATCCTTTTAACTAAATACTTGAGAAATGTGTTGCAGCAGCTGGGTTGTAGTCCTTGTATTTCCAACACTTAGGGGGCTGAGGCAGGAAGATTGCTGAGAATTTTAGGCAAGCCTGGGCTTCAGTAGTGAAACCCTGCCTCAAAAAGAAGAAGAGAAAGGGGAAGGAGAGGAGGAGAGGGAGAGAGAGAGGAAAAGAGGAAAGAAATGTTTGTAAACATATTGGAAAGAAGAGCAGAGATGAAAAAGGTTAGGCGTTTGTCAACAGAGCAGTATTAGTTTTAGATTCAGATTTAGGGAATCAAAGAATATCTATAATTGGATGCTTCTGAAAAGTCACTTAGTGACATCTCTAAGTCTTTGCAGAGACTGTGAACTTGGAATTATTGGTTTGTTATTTTTCTTTATGCTTAGTGCAAAGTCCTGTGAATGGTAGTCATAAAGAAGCCCCTCCTTCCCTCCTCCCTTGCTCCCTCGCTCCCTCCCTCCCTCATTCTCTCTCTCTCTCTCTCTCTCTCTCTCTCTCTCTCTCTCTCTCCTTTCTCTGCTTTTGACTTTTAGGGATGGTTAGAGATAAATGTTTAGAATTTGGGGGCTCTGTATGGACATGCACTGTCTGGGATACACATACTTTTGAATTGTCACCTGATGTGTACAGGATGCAACCTAAATAAAGCATGCTCTCTTTGCCTTGGTGGCATCCCACTTCATATCCCTCTGTCTTCAGGACTTCTTCACCTCTGCCAGTCTAAACACTGTTGTCTTTCAAGTTTCATCTTTTCCAGGAATTCTGCTCTAAACTTTCTAACCCTTGTTGAAATTTATCCTCTTAACCTTTTTAATGTTTGGATTAGATTAGCAGTGATGTTCTGTTTTATTTGTTCTTTAAAAAAAGCCTGGTAAACTTTGTACTTTTCCTTTCAAATTACCATTTTCTTTTCCTGCCACGTAATACTGTAAGGTCTGTAAGTGGCAGGAACTGAACGAACATGTGTTTAAGCAAGTTGTTCACTGTAAGTGCTTCTTGTATGCCTCTGTGTCCCAGTCACTGGGGCTCTGAAGCCAAAAAAACAGACCCTGCCCTTGAAGACCAGTGTGTAGTAGAGTGGCTTAAAGCTTGATGGCACTGGAATTTAAAATGCCCTCTTAACAGTTACCAGTGCTGATCACTAACAGGTCCACCAGAAGGGAAGCACTGCTCAGGCTCAGGTCCTTGTTTCAGTCAGATATCCCAAGTACCTGGCACAGTTCCTAGGATATAGCAAGTCCTCAATAAATAGTTCATAAATGTTTGTAAACGTTTATGGAGGCCGTCTCTACAAGACTGAATGGAAATGAGTTGTAGTATGCACCTTCTTTTTGGTGTCTTCCATTCTATACTCAGAAAAGTCAGTCTTAATTATTCTTCCAGAAATACTACATGTGCTGCATCCTTACACAAATTAATAGTTTGCTTGTTGTCTTAAAAGTGTATGAGGTCCTTCCATCTTACTGTTTAGTCATAGTATTGTTAAAGGCTGCATGGTACTGTGTTGTCAGCTCTTTCACTGTTAAAATTGGTACTACCACAAACAGATACAATGCCGTCTCAATCATCGTTTTCACCCCCTGCAAGTAGGAATTTTAGTATATTACTAAAGTAGAATTCTCTGAGGCTACAGAGAGATCCTGTCTCAAAAAAAGAAAAAAGGAAAAACAAACAAGCAGAGCAGTGCACTAAATCCTTTCCTAGGCTTCACACTACCACTGAGATCCTTGAACTGTGCCTCGCATGGAGAAGGAGTACTGGTTACCAACCCCACTCACCTAAACATTAATCTTGGTGGTTTTCATTTTTATTAACTCACATTTATAGGTGAATTTAGGGAGAACTGACATTTCCATGGTGCTGTTTTATATCTTATTTTCTAAAAAAGAAAAGTCCACATATTGTTAAATCTTCCTTGTGCCCTTTAATAACATTTTTAATGTTTATATTGACAGTGCACATTTAAGTATCTTGTAAGGTATTTTTATAAATAAGTTGTTTGTTTATATTTTTAGAAGTCATTACTGTTTTAATCTTGTAAATGGCATTTAAAATTTTTCTGGTTCTTGGGATATATTTTTTCTCATTAAAAATACTTTATTTCTTATTTTGTGTAATTAGGGCCACTATAATTTGTTTTTCTTTGTATGTGTGTGAGTGTGAGTGTGAGTGTGTGTGTGTGTGTGTATGTGTGTGTGTGTGTGTGTGTGAGAGAGAGAGAGAGAGAGAGAGAGAGAGAGAGAGAGAGAAATTTATGATGTTGGAGGTCATCCTTGGGTCATCCTTAGGAACACTGTCACCTCCTTTGAGACAGGGTCTCTCATTGGTTAGTCTAGACTGGCTGGCCAGTGAGCCCAGAAACCTACTTGTCTCCACTTCTACAGCACTGGGATTACAAGCATGCACCACCAAGCTGGATGCTTTTATGTGTGTTCTGGGGACTGAACTCGGGTCGTCATGCTTGCAAAGCAAACATGTTATCAACTGTCCATCCCTCCAACCTCACGGCCACTCTAATTAGACACCATTTTGTTGCCTGTTCTTTCCAGAATGATGATAGATCCCTGTGGTGCCACATATCCTTCTCTATTCTTGACACTGGGTACAATTCTAATGTTCCCCTATTCAAATGTGATGTTGGCTTTGAGGGTGAGACAATAGCTGCCCAGTTCCATTTTATTTAGGTTCTTTACCATGAAAGGATGATGTACTTAGTTGTTTTGTGTCTCTGGAGTGAAGTTTCATTTTGGTTTTGGTTTTGATCTGTGAATATAGTGAGTTTTATTTTAAGTTTTGGGGTATTGAGCTATCTGTAGAGCTAACCTTGTATTCCCTAATCAGTTTCACCAGGTCATGGAATGTTATTCTTTTAATACAATGTTAGACTTAGAGTCTATTGTATTTAGAAACTTAACATTGATTTTTAGATGTGAGATTATTTGGGTATAGGTGTGTTTTCTTTTTATGTTTTGATGTATGTTATTTTCACAAAAGGTCTGGAAATGCCTTTTTTTTTTTTTTTTGGTCTTTTTGAGACAAGGTCTCCCTGTAGCCCCAGCTTTCCTGGAACTCACTATGTAGACCAGACTGGCCTTGAACTCACAGAGATCTACCTGCCTTTGCCTCCTGAGTGCTGGTATTAAAGGCATGCACCACCTAGCCCAGCTTGGAAATACCTTTTTAAAAAAATGTTCTTAAGCAATTTAGAGTACACTGAAATTACTAATTCCTTGATTACTTTTAGTAGTGAGTTTTTTGGTACTCTCTGGGCCTGCTTTCTTGAGAGAGGATTCTGTGACAACTTCCTCTCTACTTTCCATGGTTTCTTTAGTTTTTTTACTTTTTCCTGGATTTGTTTTGGTAATTAATACCTACTTTAAAAACTACCCTGCTTAATTGAGTTTTTCTAATTTATTTGCTGAAACTGAACAACAAAATAATCTTTTATCTTCCTTTGAATCTCTGGTTATTTTTTGTGTATTTCACACAGAATATCTCAAACAATCTTAATCATCTTCGTACCTTGTCCTCACTGGCATTCTCCCATAGACCTCCCACTGGAGCCTACATACTCTGTCATCCTTGTTAAGTCCCACTGTGTCAAGTCAGTGTCTCCAGACCTTCCCCAGAACAAGTCCATCCACTGAGGTCTAGTCAGCCTACCTAGAGTCTTGTTTTAGGAAGATCAGCTCTTCCTCACCTAGCAGTGATCGGTTGCCAGTATTTCTTCAGATAAGATTGGGGTATGCTGTTCATTTCCCCAGTTCTATGCTGGGTTTTTGTCTGCTTGAGTTTTCATGGGACTTGTGTATGCTGACACCATTGCCATAGAATCATATGAGCAGGGTCCCAGGAGCTTGTATGACTCTGTTTCTGTATGGTCATGGTACCTCTTCCCTGTCTTTCCGCCCCCTCTTCCATGATGGTCCCTGAGTCCTGGGTGGGTGAAGTTTAATGTAGGAGTCCTGTCCAAGGACCAGCCTTGCAGAAGGGTCTTAATCTCTTAATTATATATTTTGGCCATTTGTAAACTTTTATGTTTCTGGCCCTCTGGTTATACAAGAAACCTTGGGGATAAAGGGAAAAAAGGAGCTCAAGAGAGGTGGGACCTTAGGAGACTGATATTATCAAGGGAGAGATGAGGAAAGTGGGGCACTTTAATTGAGGAAACCATATTTTTTTAAAATACCAGTTATTTCTAAGGTAGTGTCAAATCTTAGAAGCTAGATGAAATGTGCCTTTACTGAGTGCCCTCTCTTTTCTCGACAGGCTCTGAAGAGGACAGTGAAGATGAGTCAAGCTTTGAAGGCAGAGATCCAGATACTTGGCATGTTGGCTTTAAGATCTCATGGGACATCGAGACGCCTGGTTTGGCAATTCCCCTTCACCAGGGAGACTGCTATTTCATGCTGGGTAATGTCAGGAGAGTCAGTGAGACTGATGTCTTGCTTGTCTAACCTTAGAGTCTTGGCAGCGTATCTGTCATCTGTCTTTGAAGTAAACCTTTATAAATATATATTTAAATATGTTTTATAAATGTATATATGGAGGAACTAAAGCAATGTTGAGTGTGTGATATCATTGCTGGATATTTTAGAATCCGAGTTTTGTTTTGTTCTTAAGTGAGAGTAATAGCCTATATGAAAACAAACACTGGGCACAATGAATATAATAAAAGTATATAGCAAAAAAAAACGGAAAAGATTTTTATTATTACTCTTAATATCAGACAGATTTTTATTGTCAATTTAGCATAATGGATAATAAAATGAGGTTTCCTTGGTAAAATAAGAATTGCTCACATTTTGAAAAAGAGAGAGCATAATAACTGTTGGGGAAGTGTTAGTTCTTCAGTGGGACCAGACTGAGGCTTCCTTTGTGTTTGCAGGTGGATTGGAAGTGACTGTGTGACGTAATGCTATGTCCTGTGCAGCCTAAGTTCTCCCGGAGTGATGATTCCTGCATTCGTTCAGCAGCAGCTTAGTGTCTTGCTTTCCTTTTGCATCTTGCTTTATAGTTTGTAAATCTGTTTCACATACACAATCTCAGCTTCCAAACAGCCTTCTGAGAGAGATGTCAGAAGTTGCTCTGTTCATGTGAGGTAGAGCAGGGACTAGTGCAGGGCCAGAGCCAGCAGCAGGTACTGTATGTTGTGCTTTTCTCATCCTAAATGGGACCATTTCAGCTGGGTCCCAGGATGCTGAGGTCTCTGCAGTGTTGTCGGTGTCAAGGTCCTCTCCCAACCTTGCCTGACTTGAGGTTCCAAGCTTCTCTTCTGAAGTCTCCTTCTTTATCACTGAATGTCATTTGTAGGTAAAAGGATTATAACTTCAGTTTTTATGTACTCCTAAGATTTAGATATTTGGCCTGAGTCTAAATAAAGGTTGCTCTTTGGATTCTTTGTCAGTACTAATAATTTGCATATCTGAAGGGCTTAAGAGCTGGAGTGGTATCTTTTCAAATGGCTTCTTATTTTTCTGTATATGAAACCAGTAGATATGCATTGTAAAAGCTCAGCTGTCTTCTGTGCCTTTAATAACATCTTCTGTAATTTCTTCTGATTAAAAAACAATGTATGGGAAGTGGAGAGAGGGCTCTGTGGTTAAGAACATGTACTGCTTTTGCAAAGACTTGTGAGTTCAGTTTCCAGCATTCCTGTGGTACAGCTCCTCTAGCTCCAGGGGATCTGACACCCTCTTCTGGTCTGGACAAGATGCAGGATCTCTGCACTCTTGTCCATATACTTCCCCCCAGTCACAGACACATACGTATATACATAATTTAGAAAGAAAAAACCCAAAACAAAACAAATATCTGCTCATTGTAGATAAAAGAAACTCTTCAGAGTACAAAAGAAAAGGGTATAAAAAATCAAGTGTTGTGTGTGACTTAGTATATTTCTGCTGTCTTGTACACGAATGTCTGGAATTGTAATTATATTAATAATAGGTACATTTATTAGGGACTAATGACAAGTGAAGCATTCTGTTTATTTGCTCAATAACCCTGAGAGGCAGATATTAACTATTCTTGTAAAAGAGGAAGTCAAGGTTGGACTGAAAGACTTATCCATGGTGACACAGCTAGTAAGGAGCAGGAATAGCAATGTGTCATTTTGTTCCGCTTAGAGTTCAACACCCCATGTCAGGCTTTTCTCTTCCCCTGGGTAGCCAGCTTTCACCCCACGTCTTTCCACTCTGCTCTGCCTTACCCAATGGCATTTCAGCAAGGAAGAAAAGATGACAGTGTTATGTTTGTTTTTAAAGTTTTTAAATAGAATTTAAGAATTGGGTTAGTAATGGTAACATTTAGTGAATTACATTGTCTTTTTTATTTATGTTACAAGGAATATGCATATTTAAATATATATTGAGTCTCTAACCTTTTGTAGTTAATAAACACAAGAAATTCATGCTGTGATTTAGAAGTTGGTATACAGGATATAAAGATCTGCTTTCTACCTCCTACCTTCAGACATTGGTGACATTGTTGGTTTCCCATCAAACTATGTCAGGCATACCAAAGGTGCCCCAAAAGTCTGCAGTTCGAATGTATTTTTATGAAGATATTATATTTGATTTCTAAAATAAATTTCTTCCCACCTTCTATTAAAAAGAAAAACAAAATACAAAGCAACTGTTGTGTAATGTTGCCTTTTCTCCTAACTTTAAAAAGTCCATCTAACAAGGAACCCCATGGAGGGCCCTGGCCCCTGTGCTGATAACTGAAGTCTGAACTTCACAGCACTTATGAAAAGGAAACAGTTTAGCTCAATTTATAATAATATATTGGTCTGCAGAGGAAGTGCAGCCTGAACTTTGCTGTCTCAAACGAATACTCCTGGGGTGTCTGATGGGGAACTTGTCGGGTGCCTGTAATAAATCCACTGCGGTGGACGTGAGCGAACGGCCTGCTGGCAGTGCCTGAGGACACGCTTCACGGGGTTGTCACGGTTTTACTTTTAAATTGGAATCTTTACCCTAATCTCAGAGTTAGACATGACCAGATTTGCAAACAGATTTACAATTTTCACTAATTTTCCAACCAGGACTTCAAAACACACTTAAGGGGAAAAAAATCCACTCTGGTGTTTCTCAGGGCCCGAATGATTTACTTTGCCACAGATGGTTTCCATAGAGTACATGTAACCAGGGAGTTAGGGACTTAGTAGTGCTTGGAGACAAGCTGGGTTTGTGTTTTGTGGAACAGATTATACAGTTCAAGGGACATCAACCAAATTATGTTCATTAACCAGGAACTGAGTGTGGAGGTGGGATGTGTGGGGACAAAGGTGAGTAGTAGGTAAACACTGCGCAAACCTCAGCTGGTCCCCATTCCACTTACTATTTCTATATATTACATGTCTCTATTCATGACTGTTTTCTCTATGTTGATTACCTCTTCCAATCCAGCCACTTGAAACGTCTATTGTTAGTATTATGAGCAGTATTTGAAAGCTTTAGTTGCCAAGTAAAAAAAGTCCTTGGCAGAAACAGAAAAAAGCATTATTAATCGAATATGTAGCATTTATTTAAGTTTGCTTCCCCATCACCAGTGTTTAGAGTGAGGCCAGCAGTAGGTTTCCTGTGGGGTGAGCAGGTTCCAGATTCCTGGCCCAGTCTGATGACTCCACAGTGTCGGCACATCTTTGCATCTCTGCCCCCATTGTGTGGTGAGCACTGTGCCATCCTTCAGGGCTTGCTATGCTGGTGAGTCTGGATAGGAAGGTATGTGGGACTGTGCTCTGCAAGCTACACTTCATATGAGGACTTAATACAGAGAGTGGGAACTGGGCCATGATATGTGGGAGAACTGTCCAGGCTTGGCAGCAGTGGAAGAGCACTCATTGTCATCCATCATCCCTGAGTCCTGTCAGCCTTGCATCTCACTGCTCTACAGTGTATTTCCATAACCATACAGAGTAACTGCAAGAATGAAAACCTCAGCAGTCGGCTGTTGAGGGTGAGAAGAATTAGCACCTGATCATTGCCGAATTAGACTCTGTGGTATCCACTGCTGCTTTGGTTGAGGCTCATTTTATTTAACAGAGCCTGGTCTCTTTTTTATGGATGAATTTCCCCTTCCATGAAATACTTGTGGCTTAGAGGCAGCAAGACCAGAACACTGTGGATATTTGATGTGGTGTAACCTGAAGTGACACGGGCTTCTGTTTTTTGAGTCAACATGAGCACTTTCCTTGGAGGTGGGAACCCTGGGGGCAGGAAGAATAGAGGCCTCTGGGAGTTTATCTTGACTGGGGCTCCCTAGGGATTTAACTTGGAGCCTGTGGCATCTTTGTAAATCCTTCAGAATCCTTCAGGTATTCCTCAGCCCTGCCTAGATTTAGACATTTTCTTCAAAGCAAAAGGCTTTTGTCATGCTTCCTTCTGACCCCTTCCTCCTCCTCAACCTCTTGACCAGCTGAAGTAAAAAGTACATACAATTTATGGCTTAATCATAAATTCAAAATAATTATGCTTTATTGCCTCTCATGGGCCTTGAGATGTAGGTGCTATGTTCTACTTTCTGCTGTAGCAAAGGAATAACAGAAACAGTAATAAATTACAACTTGAGGCTGCAGCCAGTAAGCCTGAGGAATTGCCATTTAAGTGGAGAGTGCTTGAACAGCCAAATGAGCACCTGTCATGTTTGTTTTCACTCTGGAAAGTGGAAACATGACAGGATAGTTCCAACTGCTTGTCCAGTGCAGAGTCGTGGCGTTCTCTTTCTCTTTGCTGTAATGGCAGAATATGTGGCTGCTGACGGGCTTTATGCAGGGCTGAGGACGTGTCTCCCGAACTTTCACTCGAACACATCTGTTCAGAGGCTGACATTTTTGCACTTGTGCTTTTGACATGATGCCTGTTTCTTTGTATTCAGTAGAACTTGGGTGAGATCTATAGTGTGTGGACAGGAAGCCAAGGCTATTCCTGGGTACTACAAAGGATTTTCCTCTCTCTTACGCTTTTTGATCAGACCCAGACTCAATTGTATATCACTTATGTCTTGACATTTTACCTGAAATGCATGTGATGGGTGCCAGGCACCTTGCCGGAAGCTTTGACTTATTGTATTTGCTCCTATTTCAAGAATGTCAGGTGATTATCCCTTTCCTCAACCCCCTCCCCGTCCTCAGAGGAATATTGATGGGGATTGCCTGCTAATGGGTGAAAGATTCCTTTTTTTTTGTCTTTTGAGACAGAGTTTCCCTATAGCTCCAGCAGGCTTGGAACTCACCATGTAGACTAGGCTGGCCTTGATTTCACAGAGATCCGCCTGCCTCGGCCTCCTGGGTGCTGAGATTAAAGGCATGCACCACCATACCTGGCACAGTGTTCATTTTTTTAATGTGTGTGTCAGTGTGTATACAGGTAAGTGTGGTGTATGATGTGTGTGTGTGAGTTGAATGAGGA